TTCTACAACCTATTGATATAAAGCGTATGTCTGGTTGCATACCCTATTCTTTCTAACCTTCAACGTATGAATATAAACATTATCAAAATGTTAATAATGAGGCTCCCATTAATAAGTACTGATTAGAAGCTTAGAACAAGCAATCACAACTACAAATAGTGAAAGTGTTGTGAAATGTTTACAGTGTCCGTGCAGTGCGCCAGAAGTCGGTATTTCTTTGGCAAACGTAAGTAGACATCACGATTCATTTCAATTAATGCAATTAACTTGAGTCATGGTCTCTTTTGTCGTCTAAACTCTAAACAATCATTCAGAATATGTAATAGAAGTAATGTCGAACTACCCAACTAAAGGCTGAACCTTTTTTCACCTGAGTAGTACTTATAAATGGAAGACAAGTAAACAAACTTGTCAGAATTAGAAGATCCAATTAGATTCAACAATAGAGCACAGTCTTCAACTACATTTTCAATCATACAGATTTTGGTAGAAGTAATGAATTTCTGAAACTCGAGTCACTGTTTTGAAAATTGTTGATTACTTCCATGTCTTGAATGCAAATGGAATCATAGCTCACTTTTACATAGGCATTTCTGTTAGCTGTGAGATTTGATGAACTGAATATGTCAGTGCGATTTTTGAACTTTGTGACTACTTCTATGAAGTTCAGTGAGAGTTCAGTCTTGACCCTCAGTTCAATTTATCTAAATATGTAGACCTATTAGCTGGCTAACAGTGCTAAATTATTTTAGAATTTGCTATTAGATAGGAGGAGCTGTCTCTTGTTAGTGATCACAAAAAACACCACAGTATGTAATTTGCACTTTGCTAAGAAGCACAAGAAGAAGAAGGAACATGCAAAGCGCTGCAAAATAACATTGATGATCATATCTTCTACCAAACTTTTAAAAATTATTCAGCCTTTCACTGCCTAAAGAGCAATTCATGCCCACTATGAACAATGCTTACAATATCTTAAATAACACACAACGAATTAGCGATGAAGTGAAGAAACCCACAGCGTCATTCAATTTCTTTGTGACTTCCAAGACTTGTCAAAACAGCAAACACCATTACTTGTCAATAAACTATAGCGCTTGATGATTTCAATATATCAGTATCAATATACTCATATATGTCCTGTTTCTAAGATTGATCATAATGATTGATTACAAAAAAACTCATTATTGGATCAGAGGAAATAGATTACAAAATTTTATTTTGAAGCGATACTATTACTTGTCAAACTACTATAGCACTTAATGATTTCAAGCTTCTGGTCTAATTTTTTAAGATGTTGTTGATGTTTCTAAGATTGATCACAATCATACAACACTAAAAAAAAAAATAGAGGAAATTTTATTTGAAAGCGATAGCACATTTTTCTCCAGATCATAAAGCGAGCATTGTGCATCTGCTTCTGTTGAATTTTTCCCAAACGAAGAACTGTACCACCAAAAAAATCATAAACATTGTAGAAACCTTGTAGGAGTACAACTTGATGACATAGCTTTGCAAAAAATCAGGGATTACAGGGTGATTCTGCGCATTCAAGTGTTGGTCCCTTGAAGCAAAAACTCGCAGAACCCAAACGAAGAATTATGCTGTCAACAAACTTATACATGTTTCATAGCCCTCATAGAAGCATGCGCTTGTGGTATAGCTTTTCAAAAAACTAGAGGACTACAGGGTCATTTTGCAGATACAAGGCTTCACTGCTTATAACATAAAAAAATCGCATAACACAAACGAAGAAATGTACCACCAACAATCACATATATACTGTAGAGTCCTCATAGGAGTACATCTTAATGGTATAGTTTTGCAAAAAACTCAGGGAACTACAGGGTGATTCTGCGCATACAATGGTTAACTCCTCAAAACAAATCATAAGCTCGCAGAACCAAAACGAAGATTTGTGCTATGAACAAACTTATACATGTTACAAAGACCCCATAGAAACATATATACTAAGTGACATATAAATCCGAATACCCAGTTTAAATGGTTTTATTTTAATAAACGTTGGTGAATGTATTTATCTTACTGTAAATAACAAGTGAAAAAAATTTCAGCCTTATCAGTTGGACATTCCGGTTTTTATACTGCTTTTTTTTAATTCACTAACGCTCTAAAAATAAATATTTCAGCCGCAGTAAAGAATCAACGTTTGCGGATTTTGGTTCCTGACATCCTTTACGATCGGTTACGATGCCTAGAGTACGGAGACCTGTACGATTTCGTCAACTTAGTGAGTTTGATAGGGGCCGTATAGTGGGACTTCGGGAAGCTGGACTTTCTTTTCGGGCAATTGCAGTTAGAGTGCAAAGAAGTGTAGACACTGTGGTTAGGTGTTGTCAGGCATGGCTTCGAGAAGGCCGTACGCAAAGAGAAAGGGGCACTGGACGCCGCCGTAGAACAACAGACCGTGAAGATCGCCGCCTAAGATTATTGGCCTTAAGGGACCGTTTCTCCACTACCAGGTCCATGGCAAATGAATGGTTTGCAGAACACGGAAGACCTATTGGCATGCGAAGTTTTTACCGACAAATGAGAAGTTTTGGCTTGTTTTCATACCGGCCACACTGGGTCCTCCCTTTAACTCGAGAACACCGACGTAATCGCCTTGAGTGGTGCAGACAACGGTCACTCTAGGATCAGGAGTGGAACAGTATTGTCTTTAGTGACGAGACTCGATTTTGTTTAGGCATGCACGATGGTCGTGCCAGGGTTAGAAGGCGACGTGGTGAAAGGAGAAATCCACAGTTTTTTGTTGAAAGACATGTTCATCACACCGTTGGATTTATGGTTTGGGGTGCTATAGCTTATGGTTCCAGGTCACCTTTAATCTTCATCAGAGGTAACATGAACGCGCAGCGTTATATCCACGAAATTCTAGAACCCCATCTTTTACCCTATCTTGACACCCTGGCAGATCCAACTTTCCAACAAGATAATGCCCGACCACATGTTGCAAGAGTCACAATAGACTTCTTTCAACATAATGATGTCACATTGTTACCATGGCCACCAAGATCTCCCGACTTATCCCCAATGGAGCACGTGTGGGATATGATGGGTAGGAGATTGCTCGATTTGCAACGTCCTCCTCAGACTCTAGAAACACTTCGAGAGGAGTTGGTGGTTGCCTGGAATGAGATACCACAGGAGGACATTGACCACCTGATCAGAAGCATGCCTAGACGCGTTGGAGAATGCGTAGTACATCAGGGTGCATCCACACATTATTAAAGGTCAAAGGGCTTTAAAGCAGTGCAATTATTTAGAAATTTTTATCATTTACTTATTATGTTTCATTAAGTACTTATACAAAATTTTATTAAAATAAAACCATTTAAACTGGGTGTTCGGATTTATATGTCACTTAGTATATTTGTGGTAAAGCTTTGCAAAAAATCAGGGGACTACAGAGTGATTTAGACAAACGATAACAGATAACAAATAACAGATAACTGCACACATCACACCTAACAACTGACAACTGATAACAGATAACAGATAACAGTTAACTGACACCTGACAACTGACACCTAACAACTGACAACTGATATCAGATAACAGATAAGTGGTAACTGATAACTGATAACCGACACCTGACACCTGACATCTGACAACTGACAACGTATAACTGATAACTAATAACAGATAACTCATAAACTATAACAGATAACTGATAACTGATACCTGATAACAGATAACTGATAACTGCCAACAGATAACAGGTGACAGGTAACTGATAACTGATAAGTGATAACTGATAACTAAAAATTGAAAACTGAAAACAGATAACAGGTAACAGGTAACAGGTAACAGATAACAGATAACAGATAACAGATAACAGATAACAGATACCAGATACCAGATACCAGATACCAGATAACAGATAACAGATAACAGATAACAGATCACAGATAACAGATAACAGATAACAGATAACAGATAACAGATAACAGATAACAGATAACAGATAACAGATAACAGATAACAGATAACAGATAACAAGATAACATATACCAGATACCAGATACCAGATACCAGATACCAGATACCAGATACCAGATATCAGATAACAGATGACAGATCAAAGATGCCAAAGGATAGAAAATGATTAGAGATAGGGATAAAGTATATATCGCTAGCATTGCATTAGCATACCAGCAACTGTGCTACGGGTGGTTTTAAATAAAGACATCAACGAACAATATTTAGCATAGCGTTAGCATGCTAGCAACTGCGCTAGTCAACCTATTATTTGCCGCATTCCCATTGGTTTTGGGGATAACTGATAGCTAAATGTAAATTTATAACATAAATCAAATACATACAAGTTGTCCTGTTTTCTATGTAGAAAAGCATCGTGTTGGAATAAAAAAGTGGACTTCTTTATAATACAGTCGAATTTTCACGATTTTATTCAATGGTTTAATAGAAATCACTGATGTTGAGAGACCTTTGACAGCTTCCGTCAAATTGCATTTCGATAAGGTATTTTCCGATTGGTCCATAATATTAATGTTGGTGAAATAGGGCTCAAGACCAGCTTATCAATGAACCTAGTTTTTTTCGTGATCCATGCACAGTAAAAGTAGCACATCTAGACTTCCTAGTGAAATGTTCTACCAAAATAATTCCTTTAGTGAACCCGTATCAATAGTTTATGCTTTTGATGGCTTCTTTCAGAGTGTTTAATCTTCACCAGGTAATAGTGTTATAAGTTATGTGAAGAAAAATCTTAATGACATTATTCTTTTTGAGGTGCGAGTCAATAAGTGAAAAAGAGAGAAGACAAATTCACATCAGGGCCAGATCAACTTCCATCGTTTTTTAATAAAAACTGTGTAAGGCTCTTCTCACTTATTTTGTTGACAATTTTCAATTTAATTCTACGTTCTTCAGGTTTTTCTGATAAGTGGAATGTTGCCAAAGTCTGCCCAATTTTCAGGTTGCAAGACAGCACCTTAGTAAATAATTAATAAAATATGGCGATCACTATACCGAATAGCCTTGTAAAGTTCTTTGGAATAATATTGTATTCCCGAAACGAAAGTCCATCTATTTGTACCAGTGCAACAGCATGCACTATTACTAATTTAGCCATCTTCAGTCAATATCTATGCCAAACGATAGACAAAAGCAGTTGACAAAATTGACTAACAACTACTCTTACAAAAAATTTAATACATGGGATTCAACAAAGCTTAGGTGGATCTTCTCAAGTCTTTTCTAGACTTGAGGTCTCAATATGTGTTCCATAATACGTTTAGTTGTTACATACATCTCGCCTGAAGCTTTATACATCTGTTTCTCATTAGCAAGATTAAGAAAACTTCCTACAACAAATTATTTTTTATAAACATGGTGTATCAAGCATGGCAATTTGTATTCGAACAACTATAAATGTCGCATTTTACCCTCCACCCGGAAGGTAAAATTTTTAAATTACCCGCACAAAATAAATGATTCTGTATTGGACAGGTGTGAAAATCGCAAAGATTTGGGCGTGTATTTCGATTTCCTTCTCACATTTAACTACCACATCAGTGAAATTATAAGTAATGCAAATCGCACGTCTGGCTTTATTATCAGAAATTGTAGAAATTTCAATATCACAACGTTTATTAAGTTATTTTCAGTGCTCGTTATAAGTAAATTACAATACGGTGCAATTATTTGGAGCCCTATCTGTGAACTCTACAAGAATAATATAGGAAGAGTGCGAAAGAAATGTCTAAGATACCTATGCCATAGGAGTGATGGTATCTATGCTCCAAGAGGATATGGCTACTCATTACTATTGACTAGGTTTCGTGTGCCCTCTTTGGAGAAACATCAGAGAACAGGCATCGATTATGTTTTCATACAAAACCTGCATGGTAACATCGACTTTTTGGCTTTGCTGACACAAATTGATTTTCTGGCACCTAGATTAACATCCAAATATAAAGTATCCTTTTTCTGCAAGATGCACAGACAAATCTTCTATCTAAACACTAAAGAAGCAATAATGCAAAAAGGTTGGGAGCTTACTCCTTTCTCTAGACGTTTTCGTTTACTATATTACTATATATTTCCTATATTATGTAAAGATTACATGCTATAGTTATATATTCTCTTTTCATATTATCTATGAGTCATATTCATAATTTTCTTCTTTCAACTTAAAATGCCTTTCTCTTTTGTGTGTTTTTTTTTCACTTTACGCAGACTATGTAAATTAAACTCTAAATGACATCTGTACTGTTGGGTAATGAGTGTTTTATTATTATTAATATATATGCATAAATAGACACGGTTGAAATAAACTCACACACCTTCTGTCTCTGCTACAATGGCCAACCGCAGACAGCAATGTTTAGTTGTTTAGTGTTCATTAGCAACTCATCAGTACGGTACAGCATTAGAAGTCTCTGAGACAGACGTATGGAAAGCAAAGAGATGGGTACGGTCTTTTGAAAGACTCAAAATGCCGAGCGGAAATAGGTGAGAAATCTGACGATCTCCATTTATTAATGGTTCGTCAAGATAACTTTCATCCTCGTCCCATAAGATGAACTTGTCAGAAGAGCCCTACGCCTCTGGCTGATTTCATGTTCATTTCAATCGGACTAAATCTCATCTGTAATTGAAGACTTTGATGCAAGCAGCTTCAATTAAACTGGTCTTCCTTTCTATCACAGTTTAAAGTTCTATATCATTCAATGGAATTCACAAAGCTGCATTCTTATGGGATATGTCATATGGAATCACAATCTTTCAGAATATGTACAGTCACTTATTCTTGAGTTCTCAAAAACAAAGTCTAACTGTTCTTGCACTGTCGTCCTTGATTGCAGCCATATCTTTCTTACCGCAATAATGTTACAGGTCTTAACCAAGGACAGCGTGACGGTGTCAGTAGATGCAGTTGTTTACTATCGGGTATCCAACGCGACGGTGTCCATCGCAAACGTCGAAAATGCCCACCACTCGACCAGGCTACTCGCGCAGACCACACTGAGGAACATCATGGGTCAGCGTCCACTCCACGAAATACTCAGCGAGAGGGAGAGCATCTCTCAGCACATGAAAGCGCTACTTGACGAAGCCACCGACTCTTGGGGTATCAACGTGGAGAGAGTTGAAATGTAAGTTTAGAGATCCAGTAGATATTTGATATAGTATACGTATATATTGAAGTTGACATACAGAGACACTTTTTTTGTTTTGACTTCAATGTGTGATGGTACATGGTACACTCAACATAACAACGTATTTGGGGGTTAGTGCCGATTTGACGTGTACACGACAGTGTAATATGTAATACTGCACAAAAAAAATCATCTCTTTTTATACGGACATTTGTTCTTAAAAAATTCCATTTTCCATAAATAACACAACAAGTGACCACAAAACATAGAGTACAGTGACGTTGGAGAACGAGAATAGAACAAAGAGCATCGGCATTGACATTTGAAATTAGTGTCTCATAACGCTAGTGATGGGAGGATACATTTGCGATCAGTGGAATGCATTGTTACGGTTAAACAATATGAATTCAATAGTTATTACATATCTCGACTGAAAGACTGGAATATCTGCTCTGTTTTGTATATATATATATTTTGTGGTATTGTTGCAAAAAGTAGTTTGTTCACGAACTAGTTCCTAGAACTGAATGCAACTTAATGAAACAAACTAGAAAGCACATCACTATTTCAAGAAATCCATGAAAGGACAAATTGTCATTTCATCACACTAGTGATAGGAGAATCGAAAGCCTGAGATTCACTTTGCTTCTGTGGCTCAGAGATTAGTGTTTTCTTCTGATAAAGCTAGCGCAGTTTGTATGTTTAAAATACTCTACCTTAGTTAATACCTTTGATCCTAGATTTTCTCCCAAAACAACATTAAACAACTCTCATGTCGTGTCGCTTGCAGTAATCTGTGAATGAAGCATATTTTTCTCTTTCTTTGTCCTTTTCCGTGTTACTATGATGAATCATCGAAAAAAATAACAGTAAACCACGAGCAAACAGCACAGCTGCATTCAAAGATGGAAATCGAAGCAGAAGACAGTAGACAACACCAACCAGAGTTGCTTCAAGTTCTCTATGTTTCTACAATCAGTGAAAAACTAGTTCAAAATGCGCATAAAAAAACATGAATATATAAATACGAGTAGGTTCTGTTATAAGAATTTGGAATATGCACCAGTCCAACAACGGTTTCACTGAAAGAAAACGCGATTGAATAGCTTGGAAATATTTAACAGTTTAGACCACACAAGGCTGATTTCAGTAGCTTCTGTTTTGGCCACTTTCTCAGTTATAATCTCATATCACTTCAAGTTGCCTCACATGTCAAAGATTTTCCAGCTTCTTCGCGCCCCTGGAGCCTGTGGTTCTCGATACTTGCTTTCGAAAGATTTTTGACTCGCTTGACTGTTGGCTATGTTTATATATTTTCTGGGGATTTTCCAATCCCTCAAAGATTTATCAGACCTCTGGATGTTCTAGAAATTCATCGATATCAATAAAACATTTCCATACAACTCTTAAACCTGATTTCGACACATGTTACATGCGTCTAAGATGATATTCTTATTTGACTGTTTATAAGTTCCTTTTGGTACCTGAGAAAAATCATTTTCCTCTCTTGCAGTGTTCTGAGTCATTCAGTTATTTTCGTCCACCGATCAGTATGAATAAAATGTCCCATCACTATACTAGTCGCGACTGAGTGATTTGTCATCTGGACAAAACGACAGTGTTGCCAAACTTAGCGATTTTTGTATGCCTTAGCGACTTTTTTCTCATTTTTAGCTATATTGGCTATTCCATAAAAGTTCGCCCTTTTATAGTTAGTCTTTTCAAGTGTCGAATGCAACTAGTGATTATGCTGTGCTATCTCCCCAGCCAACATGCATTGGAAGTAAGAAGCTTCCTCTGTAGTCATTTTTTTTGTACTGAAGCAGCCGGGTCTGTATGGCAGGCACATCGCGCGGCCGCAACATGGAAGAGAACTCTGAGGAGTAAAGCACGTTGGTGTCGCGGTAGAAGAGAACTTGATCGCCGAAGGCCGCCGGTGTGAAAGATTCCCGAGACTGTTTGTTAGAGAAGAGTCATCGATTAGTCGGACAGCCCTTTTCTGGACAACATCGAGCATAGATAATACAGTCGGGGTGGCGGCACCCCAAACGTGTGAGCAATACTCGAGGATAGGCCTTTTTTGGGCATTGTATAGAGTGAGAAGGTCATGCGGAAGTACTTCTTAGCCCCAAACAAGTAGCCTAGCTTTTCCCAGCAGCTGCCGCTACTGACAAAATGTGTTCGTGCTAGATCAAGTCCTCGGTGATCTGGACCACGACCAGCCGAAATGGACGGCTCTTTGTCAGAACCCGGCCACTCATCAAAACCGTATGAGCGCTAGAACGCTTTTTGTTCGTCAACGTACGGTACTGTGTTTTGGAAGCATTACGCTGTACAAGATTGTTGCGTCCCAAGCAGTGATAACCTCCAGGTCTCTCGTCAGAGAGGAAGTCGTCGCTAATCTTCTTTTTCCAGCTCAGCTGCAGAGATAGGCTACTCTGAATTCCTGCACGTAGAGTGCTGTCATCAGCGAAGCTGTGGATTGGGTTGAACGTGCAGGAAAGGAGATCGTTGATATGCAAGCAGAACCGTGTCGGAGCTAAGGCCAATCCCTTGGGAACACCCGCGTTGGCCTTGCGGGATGAAGAGGAGATCCCGTCAATACGACGGATGCCTTGCGACCAGAGAGAAAGTCAGTCACCCATGTGCAACGCTTTTCTGGGAGGTCATGGGATGGAAGTTTGCATAAGAGGGCAGCGTGTCACAGCTGATTGAACGCTTTCGTGATATCAAGACCAACGACATAAGCCTCAACCTAATACTGGATTAGCTTACTCTACAATTGCGTGACGTGAGCTAGGAGGTCCCCTGTGGATCGCTGGTGTCGGAAACCATACTGCCTGTCGCTAATCAAGCCGAGACGTTCGAGGTTGTCCAGAAGCTCGCGATTTATGCACCTCTCATGTACCTTACTTATAACGGAAAGCAGAGCTATAGGCCAGGAGTTGTAAGGGTCGGTTTTAGATCCTTTTTTGAGATGGGTTGGACATGAGCAAATTCACAATTTTCTGGGTTCATAAGATATCTGGAAGAGACGCGAAAAAACTGAAGCAAGCTCCGCTCACACCTCTTCAGTACAATCAAGTCCAGACCAGAAGCTTTATTGGGGGGTGTCCATGGTGGAGTTGGCAGCAAAGATCTTGTCAAGCACTTCAGCCTTGGCCTTCGGAACACTTACAATCGTTCCATCCTGACACGTAAGTGGTGGAAGGCTACTGTGTGAGAAGTTCTTTTCGATCTGCTTGGCCAGCGTTCAACGCGGACATATCTTCATCATTTTCAAAGAACTTGTATGAAATCTTCAAATTTGTGAACTTCGTAGTTTTCCGTTCATACGTTGTTACCAGACGTGCCCAAATCATCAGTTGCTGCCGTGATATTCATCCCTACCACTGCATCCCCACGCTATGCGACCTGTGTGTTAAATTGTGTTGATAGGGCAGGGGATTATGATATAAATCATATATCACAGTTTTTTGTGCACTGATTGTAACGGTTAGATGATAACAATAGTATTTTCATAAATAGGATATCTTTCCCACTCCGGAACCAACAATCTACCAAAGATAATTATAAACATGATATCTAGCAAATTATCTTGAAAAATCCGCGGTACGGAGGTATATCAGAGCCTTCTTATATTTGTTCATCAATTTGATGATACAACACATCTGCCAAAGATTATTATAATCAGGATAGTAAACTATGACGAAGCTCGACAGTATGTAAGAATTTCAGATACTTCGTTTGCAATTTGGAGATACAACAGACCCTGATAGTGTTCACACTTTTCAAATATTCTTCAAGAAGTGATATCAGTCTAGCTCCAACTATGACAAGTACTATGTTTGTGATCCTGCTTTAAATTCAAAACCAGCAAATGTAAAAGATTCATTTCGCACAACGGAACGTGATCGTCGCTAGACTTGGCAACCCTGCGAGTGACGGATAGATATCCCCACCAGTCAAAAAGGCAATTAAACAAGAAATAGTATTAGTTTTTATGATTTCCGGAGTTAAAAGGTATTATTTGTGAGAAATTTGTCTTAATTTTTTGTCTATGTCCATAGTAATTGCATTATGCATCACGGAGATGTAGGGATTGATACGTCTTATACATATCATCTGTATTTTAGGATGGAGAGGACATAATGTTTTATTGCTTTGAAGAAATTCATTAACCCATAAATTAATGAATGATTACTATTATGATGTAAAGGAAGATGAGGAAATAGTTGGAATGTATTTTATATTCTATTTGCTTGCAAAATACAGACAAATCCATACTATTCAACAGGTATATAGCTATAATGATAACATATAAACACTCAGTATATTGAACTTAACAAATTCGAGATTGCCATGCATTGACAAACGTCCAAATCTGCTATTAAATTTGACAGGTAGGAAATCGATATATTATTTGCCACATTCTCATTGGCTAAGGGATAACGGATTGTTAGCTGTAACTTTATAAGAGAAATCAAAATACCTTCATG